GTGTGTATGTAAAAATCACATATACTAAACTTTATCGAATCTCGTTTGACAATTTCATTGACTACTCTTTATTTCATTGATATTATTTTTATTAGTCGTTCGACGATAGTTTTGCTAAATTCTTAACGCGATAGTCGAAGGGAAGGATATATAAAACGATTCTAATTTTAGCGGGACTGTCAGAGAACAAACTAAACGTCTAATCCCAACACAACGCTAGGATAATCTCTCGTAATTCGATGATTCATCTTGTTCTACGGATGACGTTTTATTCGAAAAGATCTTTCTCTCTCTTTTTCTCTTACTATCTCTCTCTCTCTTTCTCTCTCTCTCTCTCTCGATTTCTTCTTTCTTCCTTCCTTTCTTTCTTTCTTTCTTTCTTTCTTTCTTTCTTTCTTTCTTTCTTTCTGTCTTTCTTTCTCTCGGCAAAAACTGGCCGAGTATAAAATACATCTGGCAACAATATCGGAAGCTTTTTTTAAAGCGCTACCTCAGCCCATTTAAATCGTACAATGTAACCATCAGAATGGAAGTGGAGAGGAACAAGAAGACGCGGGACCTCTTGACAAAGAGAATCGTCCGGACGAAGACGAGAAAGAGAGAGAGAGAGAGAGAGAGAGAGAGATAGAGAGAAACAGACAGACAGTACAAAAGAACGTTCTTTTGACTAGAGAGAACTCGTCGTTCGACCGACCGACCGACCAACGACGAATTAGAATATATGTATATATATATATATATATATATATATATATATATATATATATGTATGTATTTATATATGTACACGAAGTGTAAGGAAAAAAAAGCGAGCATGAAAGTCGCGGGCGTGGGAAAGCCGGAGCCCCGAGCGAGCCACCAATTAACACCAATTAGCGCTCATCTGCTCTAGGTACGAGAGAGAGATAGAAATAGAGAGAAGGAGAGAGAAGGAGAGAGATATAGAGAAAGAGAGTTTGCGTTCGAATACGAGTCGACAATGTCTTCTTTGTGCTCGAGAAGACAATGCTACTCGAATCATCATCATCATCATCATCATTATCATCATCATCGTCATTATCATTTTCGAACGGACCTCGTTGTCATTATTATTGTCCATCGTCGTTTGTTCAAATTCATTCGATCGATCGTATTGCATATAAAAAAGGGTAACGTTTTCTCCAATTCCTATGAAGACAAGGTTTGCTTCGTAAAAGTAAGAGAATCGTCTGTAATTCTTGCCAAGTTGGCATCGAAGATACAAAAGAAATATTCCGTACACGAGCGTTACGTCGGATCAACGACGTCGAAAGTCTCACGATATATATCGTTACGTATTGGCACGATGATTGGTAAAACGAGAGAGAGAGAGAGAGAGAGAGAGAGAGAGAGAGAGAGAGAGAGAGAGAGATAGAGAAAGAAGGAGAGAGTCCTCACCTGTCAAAAGTCACTCGAACTTGTAATAAAAAGAAATACGTATGTACGTAGATAAGTATCATTTTCGAAATACACTTCGAACAGTTTGTCGCTCGATTTAAATGTTTTCGATTCACGGGAGAAATTGTTCGAGGCATTATTCCATACTTCGGTAGTTTGGTCACGATCGCTAAGAAAGAAGAAGAAGAAGAAGAAGAAGAGTATTCCGAAGAAGTAACGAGTTCCTTCGTGAAAAAAAAAAAGAAAAAAAAAAAAAAGAAAAAGAAAACAAAAAGAGCTAAGAAGAAAAAAGAAAAAGAATCAATAAAAAAGAAAGGGAGACAAAAAAAGAAACGTAAAAGAACGATAACAACAAAAAAAAAAAAAAAAAAAAAAAGAAGAAGAAAAGAAAAAAGGAGAAGAAAAGAAAAAATAAAATAAAATAAAAAAGAGAAGGAAACAGAAAATAAATCCGTCCTGAAGATAGTAGTAACATTGTCGTATATCGATGAGAGACCTACGTTTTGCATATCAAAGGAGCTTCTCGAATTCTGTAGTTTATGGCGATTGGTTCGACGATAGCCAAACCAGTTCCCTCTTCTACTCGTCCTGCGTACATGACTTACGAATATATGCACATATAATTATTCCCTTGAGAAAGAGAGAGAGAGAGAGAGAGAGAGAGAGAGAGAGAGAGAGAAAGAGACAGAGAGGGAGAAAGGGTGTGGAGAGAGAAAGGAAAAGAGATAGAGAGATAGAGAGAGAGAGAGAGAGAGAGTAGGTGCCTGAGATTATTACCTAGAAAGCACCTTCTCGTGTTATATGTGAATCCTTCGAAAGGCGCGGAAATTCTTAAGCGTATTCACGATGCCCCGCGTGCCCAGGGATTATATCGGAATTTATGAAATTCTTTAGGATTTATCGCCGCGAAGTCGCCATTTAAAGAACACCAACCGAGACGGATCTAACGATCCTCTTTACATCCTTAAATATGGAAACGTGTGAAAAAGCACATACTTACATCTTGTTCTTAGAATATTTTCGCTACCGTATTTATAATATTGAAATTAAAAAATTTCTTCGTACGGAAATAAAACGATACTGATAATAATAACCTATATCTATTATAAATTACAATGAGCTCATATCGTGCTCTCTTTATTCTCATTGCCATATATTATCCTTAATACGTCATGTATAATATGTGTAAAATTATTTGAGAATGAGAAAAGGAAGATTAAAAAAAAACAAGAAAATTCATTCTCTAGGAACGATTACGGCCGCTTTTTTTTATTTGCGACGACGTATCGTCGATAGGTAATACGAAAAAAGAAGAAAAAGGAAAGAAGACAAAAAAAAATGAAGGAAAAAAGGAAGGAAGGGAGGAACGAAAGAAAGAGAAGGGAAAAAAAATTACAAGAAAATTTGACCGTCCACTCGATTTTAACTTGACTCACCTCATTGTCTGCCTGCCTTCGCGTTCATTAACGACACGCGTGAGTGCGTGACGCGCACCGACGCAGGGTGCACGTAGGTTTTTCCTTCTTCTTTTATTTCACGGGACCGGTTCCATCAGGAACACTTCCAGCTTTCTACCATCGACCTTCTCTCTCATGCTCTCTCTCTCTCTCTCTCTTTCTTTTTCATTACCTCTGTCCCTTCCTATCTCTCTCTCTCTCTCCTTCTCGATGTTCGAATCTCCTTGCGAGAGAGATCGGAACCCGTTCGCTCGGTAGAAGATAGGCCCGTCTTCCGTGGCGGAGAAGAGCGATTGGAATTTATTTATTGCATTAGCCGACCGTCACTCACGCTCGGCCCTTGATTGGTGCCTACCAATCAGGATTCGCCGCTGCTATGCCAGAGCAAGATGCAACGAGCGAGATATAAGAAGGACAAAGGGGTGGGTTGAGGTCTAACTATCGATATATACTTGTATGTAGTATATATAAATATATATATATATGTATATATATATGTGTGTGTATATATTGTGGATGTGTATTGTTACATATAAAACACATACGCATACATACGAACGAAGAAGAAGGTAGAAAGGAGGAAAGTCGTTTGATCGGGGGAATGACGTAACGATATCTCGCTCTAACCGCTACCGTAATTACTCTGATTAACAGTCGTTCGACGATACTCACCCGGTGATCTCCCGCAGTGCGATGCAGAGAGAAAGAGAGAGAGAGAGAAAATGGACGATGCTTCTTCTCAATATATTTATCTCGACACGTCGTTTATCACCTTATCGAGATATTCTTTATATATCGATAAATCGAATAAAGCGCGTAAAGGATTTTATACCCTTTGGTGTCTCCCATTTCAGTTACTCTTGAGAATCTCGATAAAGAAAAAGAGACAGGGCGATGACAGTTATGGTTGACTGCTAGACCAATTGGCTTGCTCCGGACTATATAACGTAATGTAATAATGATCCTCAAAGGTCAGGAAGCGACGTATAAATTTGCAAAAGCCCGAGCGTCAAAAGGTTCCACTTACATTAGGGAACCCGTTTCTCCTCGGGGAATTATATTCGAGCTGGGCAAGGGTTAACTGACGTCCTCATCAAACTATACCTTCTTTTCCGCTTTTAAAACGAGCCTCTCTAGACGAAAGTGACGTCAGGGATTATGATTTCGATACGTCGGAATATATATACACGTACACATATATATATATATATATATATATATATATATATATATATATATATATACACATTTATATATGTGACGCGTTCACGCAGCACACCAGCTGTGAGGAAAGTCGCGAATCGAGTCTGTTTGGAAAGTGGGATCAGAGAGTACTTCCGAGCATCGACATCGTCAGTCGGTCAAAGTTCTTCAGAGGTTCTCGCATTGTATGTCTCGAAGAATCTTCTCGATTAGCATCTCTTATTCTCTCTCCCTTTCTCTCTTTCTTTTCATGGCTCATCCTCTTCCCTGACGAGCAAGAACGTTCGGGACTCTCATAGTCAGCATGGATTAGAAAGTATACGGAGCGCTCGTCTGGTCGTTGCAAAGCCAATTTCCAAAGGAATAAACGAGAGAAAGAATCCTTCGATTCCGTCTCCCTTATCCTGATTTCTATCCAATTTTTAAACGATAAACGTACCACCTGTTGCTAGTTCGACTCGTGGAAGAAGATAGGTTCGTCTTTTAGGACCCAATTTACTTCGGGCGGTAGCAATTTAGGTGTCTGCCTTCGGGAATGAGTCGATTAGAGAAATTAGAAGGTCTTATTTTTCTTTTTTTCTCCTCCTTCGGGCGAAGACAGATGCGTCGTATTATTTGCCATACTTTATTTTTATATATATATTATTATTATTATTATTATTATTATTATTATTATTATTATTATTATTATTATTATTATTATTATTATTATTTTATTGTGGAATATTACTTCGTCTTTTATCATCGAGCAAAGTTCAGGGATCATTAATACTTATCTTTGATAAATATCTTTCGATGTCTTTTCTTCTTTTCTCTCTCTCTTTTTTTTTCTTTTTTTTTTTTTTATGTATTTTAAAATTCCTACCTAGATTTACCATCACGTCAACTCGAAAGATTTATCGACGACAACGATTTCCTTTACAGAGGCAATTTACGCTGATTCTACAAGCGAGAGACGAGGCGAGCGCCGGCGTCATCGAGGAAGCGAGCTACAGCGGAATCGTCCTGCCTGGCCCAACGTGGCACACTCTCAATCATCAGGGTAGAAATGCTCATTTGGCTTATCGCGTGCGCGTCCAATGTGCGGATCATTACTACAACGCGACGTGTACCAAGTTCTGCCGGCCGAGAAACGACATATTCGGTCATTACACCTGCGACGAGAACGGCGATAAAGTCTGCATACAAGGTTGGAAAGGTTCCGATTGCGAGATAGGTGAGCGAGATATCATTGCAATTTCAATTCTTACCTGTACTTTCTTCTTCTTTTTATTTTTTCCTTTCCTAATTAAAAAATAATTCTGTTCTTTCTCAATGCGAACTATTGATTATCATAAGAATTATCATGATGATTAAAGTTTATAAAATTGCGATATCATAATAACAAATTCAACTGTACATTCGTTCGTATATATATATATATATATATATATATATATATATCTTTAACTTTTTTGGAGAAGGGGAAAAGCAGTACAAAAGAAAGGGGAGGGAAAAAATAATGAAATAATCGAAGACAAAACTTTTTCTAAGATTCAAAATTTTTCTAATAATCAACCGAGTCCATTTAGATCTGTAAGTTCAGCTAATGAGATCTTGGAAAATCAGTAATCTTTTTTTTTTTTTAACACAAGTGTTCGTACGAGCTCGTTTGACAATTTCCATGGGTTCGAATCACAAATGACAGGAGAAACTTTCGCGACGTGACAATGCCAAGTGTCACGTGTACGTCTTCAAAATGCGATTCCTGGTTTCTAATGACCGACTCTGATCCCGTAAAAGAGAGAGAGAGAGAGAGAGAGAGAGAGAGAGAGAGAAAGAAAGAGAAATAACAGAAAGACGAACTCGGTCTAACTCTGGAAGGAACACCTTGCGAAAGAGAGAAAAAGAGAGAGGGAGAAAGAGACAGAGACAGAGAGAGAGACAGAGAGAGTGAGAGAGAGAAAAAAAGAGAGCAAGAAGAAAACGTGGGTTGAGATCAAGAGGCACGGCCCCTTGCGGATCGTAAAACATACGAATTATCTCGAAGCGTGCCTCAATGGGCGGACGTTAGACGCATGTCGTACGATCTTACAAAGGTAGCGACATCACGCCAGGTCTTGGCTCGCACAATGGAGCGCCAGGCTAATATATAACAGCTCTTTCTTCGCTGCTTAATCGTTACTTCCGTCTCACTGTGATTGCGACTCACCGGGTCGCAGTGTCACATCCCATCTCTCTTCTCTTCTCTCTCTTTCTCTCTCTTTCTCTCTCTCTCTCTCTCTTTCTCTCGCGCGCGCGCGCTTTCTCTCTCTCTTTCTCTTTCTCACTCTCTCACCCTTATTCCAATCCATATTCATATTCATTCCGCGACCTTGTGAGACCAAACCACAGTACCGTTCCACGAGAAAATTATTACTCCTATGTATATGTATTTCTTTCTAGACGCTAAAATCGATGGGCATTAAACGCGGATTCATTTCTGAAAATGATTTATTAAAATATCGTCTATTTTCGATCGATTACGTTCGATATAATTTAAGGAAATTAATTCCAAGTTCATATTCTTTCGGCAGAAAAGAAAGAAGAAAAAGAAAAAAGAAGAAAAATGAAAAAAAAAAAAAAATAAATAAATAAAAGAAATTACTCTTAGAGATGATTACGCAGAGATATGATATATCGAATCTTTCTCCTTCCATGTCAAGGAGAGAGATTCAATTTGAGGATTTAAGAAGGAATTAAATAATTTCTTTTGAACGCGCGCTCTACTTTCGAGTTTGAAAGAGGGAAAAAGAAAAAGGAAAAGAAAAAGAAAAATAAAGATCGATGAAACCCAATTAGGATCTATCGGATAGAAATCGTGTACTCGTGAGACGTCGAGTTGTTGTTCGGTGGTAATGTATAGGAGAAAGAGAGAGAAAGAGAGGGAGAGAGAGAGAGGGAGAACTGGCTCTGACATTTTTGTCGCACTGTGAAAGGTCAATAGGAGAATTTCACTCGTGCATCCTCTTCACACGAGCTCTATGCACGAACCCGGCCGTAACGTGCCACGGCGGCTTGTGAGAGAAGTCAAATCTTTTCCGTGATAACATCGTCGTTCGTTCGGCACGCTCTCGACTCTTAGAAACTACACGGAAACTTCTCGTGACGAGATACGCATTAATACATCTAAGAGTGTTCCTAAACGATCATTGAAATTTAACCAAAGAAAAATCTTGATCTTTTCATGATCTTAACTTTATATCCCCACGGTATGTGAAATATCATTTAGTTCGTTTTATACGTATTAAATTTGATTGACTTAAAAAAGAAACATTCCTTGTTTTTTTTTTTTTTTTTTCCATATTTCTTATTATATTTATATCATTTCGAATCGGATAAACCAAGAAAAATATTATGATACGTTGTTCTAACGAGCAACCAACGATATATTCAAGCGTTACCTATTTAAATGCCTTACTGCCAGTATAAATGTTTATTGCAACCTGTTGCTTTCCATATTCCATGGTTATCAAAGCAGAAAATCGTTGATTATTTGTAAAACTATGTACGACGTAATACAGTTTATATTATCAAAGCTTTTCCGTAATTGCTTTTTAATCGATAGAATATACGACTTCCCCCGAGAGAATTTTTCTAAATTCTTAGTTGTAACGATCGATCGGAAAAACTCTGACCAAACGAAGGAAGTAGTTGTAGCCCGAAGGGAAGGAAATGGAGAGCGTAAATCGCGAGTTAATTTAACCGACGCGGCGTCGACTTATGTGAATCAATCAACCACCAAGAGCTTCCTTCAAGCATCATCGACTAGATTTATAGTTTCCGAGCTACGAGAAAATGTACTGTTCCTTCTATCTATCTCTCTCTCTCTCTCTTTGACTTTTTCTTGGAGGAGGAAACGTCTAACGGCGTAAAAGCTCTCGAAGATGAAACGTGGCTTGATTGGCTCGAGATAGGATTGCTTAGTGGTACGCAAACGCGTTTCCGATCGAGTCCAATCGAGCATCGGCCGCTAGTGAAGTAAAAGAGGCCTTGCTGTGCTTGATCATAGAAAGAGAAGAGAGGGAGGTACGATGACGTGCCGTCATTTAGTACCTCGAGAGTATCCCGATGCAGTCGTATAAATATCCGTAAATGTCCGTCGTTCGTGAGGACGAGAGAGGCCAGGACTATTAATCATTAGAGATGCTGCGAAAGAGCAGGTATATTCCTATGTATCTACGTATGTTTCTTCTACATATATACAAGCTTGGCTATATTATACTCTCGCGAACGTATGCAAAAGGAGCATACATTTCTATGTCCATGTTTTTTATATATATATATATATGTATATGCATGTATGTATGTATGTATGTATATATATATATATATATATATATATATATATATATATATGTACTTATATGATGCTTTTACGCGAGAAAGAGCGTGCGGGTATATTTGAAGCGCGTGACGTAACGGTAAAGTCCTCGTCGTCTTCGTCGTCTTCGTCGTCCTCATCTCTTGTCTTCGATGTTCTCTCAGGAAAAGGGTCGAAAGTGTATATACGTACTCGCGTGTTGCCTCGCCATGAGTTTTCGTTTCACGTCCAAGGGAGATAATCCTTCTCTCTGTCGCTTCTCATCCGTCTTTCCGTCCCCTCGGCTAATTGAGTTGCCCGACTATAAAGCGATACTTCGTGCTGTCTTCGTCGACTTTCAAGAGGAACAAAATTACCGTTCCTGTAGATAGGAGATACCGTAATCGCATGAAATTAAGTTTGGAAAGTCGGTGGAAATGCGTAGAGATATCAAAGAATAACGTCCTTTTGTATACACCCGTGATGCATTTTAAATAAGATTTATCTACGTATTGTGTACTTTTAATATAAGAAAATTAAAACATTGATTTTAGCTGTCTGTAAAGAGGGTTGTCATCCGGTTCACGGTCATTGCAACGTAAGTGGCGAATGCAAGTGCAGACATGGTTGGCGAGGTGATCTTTGCGATCAGTGTACACCATATCCCGGATGCAAGCATGGCTATTGCAATGGCTCGAGTTGGCAGTGTATATGCGACACGAATTGGGGTGGCATACTCTGCGACCAAGATCTAAATTATTGCGGGACGCACGAGCCTTGTCAGAACAGTGGCACGTGCGAAAATACGGCGCCGGATCAGTATAGATGTACATGCCCCGAAGGATTCTCCGGGCCGACCTGCGAGAAGGTCGACAATCCTTGCGCCTCGAGTCCGTGCGCCAATGGAGCGACCTGCATCGAATTAGGTGAAAGCGCTCATTGTGAGTGTGCGCCTGGTTTTACGGGGCCTTTGTGTGCGACCGACATCGACGAGTGTGCCTCGCAACCTTGTCAAAACGGTGGTACCTGCGTCGACGGTAGAAATGGCTTTGTTTGTAACTGTCCACCTGCCTGGCAAGGTTCTCTTTGTCAATTCGACGTCGACGAATGTGCGCTCAAGGAATCACCTTGCAAGAATTCGATCAGTTGCGTTAATCTTGCCGGTGATTATAGGTAAGTCCACTATATCCATCCGTTTCATTGCTAAAATCCATCTCCAAATTTAAATTATATTGAAATATTTTCAAGATTAATTATAAAAAAAAGTTAAATCATTTATTACTTACGTAGAGTTAAGTAATAAAACGAATGACAAATTTTAGATGTCGGTGTCGAAGCGGCTTTAATGGCAAGAACTGCACGAAGAACATCAATGATTGTGTCGGACAATGTCAGCACGGTGCATTGTGCATCGATCTCGTTAACGATTATCATTGTAGTTGCACGGCTGGTTATTCCGGCAAGGATTGTGACGTCGACATCGACGAATGTGCCTCGAAGCCATGTCAAAATGGCGGAGAGTGCAGGGACCTGGTAAATGCTTATGAATGCGTCTGTCCTGTTGGTTTCACCGGTTACCAGTGCGAAATCGATCGCGATCATTGCAGTCCAAATCCCTGTAGAAATTCAGCGCCATGTTTCAACACACAAACCGATTATTATTGTCACTGTCCTGAACAATGGCAGGGAAAAAATTGTAGCGAGTCAGCCTCACAGAATCCTCAGTTCGGCGAGAATGCGGACGATCAATTAGGTTGCGGTAGCGAGGGAACGCCTTGCGGTGGCAGAGGAAGATGTAGCGGTGACAAATGCATCTGCGACCCCGGATATACCGGGGTACATTGTCACGAGAATATCAACGACTGTCGTGGCAATCCGTGTTTAAACGGTGGTACCTGCGTTGATCTGATAAATTCATTTCAATGTATCTGCAGGGAAGGTTGGAGCGGAGATTTGTGCGATCAAGGTTAGCATACTAAATTAAGAAACATCATCTTCGATTTCGTATAATTTTAACGAACGATTTTAAAGAAATTAATTAATTCGAGTTTCGGCATTAATACGAGAAAATGTACATTTGCAGACGTAGACGAATGTATGGCGTCACCTTGCCGTAACAATGGCACATGCGTCGACGGGGTCGCCGACTTTACGTGCATTTGCCGAAACGGTTGGAAGGGAAAAACTTGTGCCCTTCGAGGTGGCCATTGTGAGCCTGGTACTTGTCGTCACGGAGGAACTTGTCAAGATCGCGGGGATGGCTTCACGTGTCACTGTCCACCTAGCTGGGAGGGTGCAGCCTGTCACATAGCATCTCCAGCGTGTGCCAGTAATCCCTGCGAGAACGGAGCAACTTGCGTTAATACGGCCGACGGAAATTACAGATGCGTTTGCCGCGAGGGTTTCGAAGGGCCAAATTGTCTTCGTGACGTCGACGATTGTCAACCGTTGCCTTGCCTAAATGGTGGTAAATGCGTCGACGGAGTGAATTGGTTCAGATGCGAATGTGCACCAGGCTTTACCGGGCCAGATTGTCGTATAAACGTGAACGAGTGCGCGAGCGATCCCTGCACCGCCGGAGCGACCTGCGTCGATGGAATCGCCAGTTATTCTTGCGTTTGTCCACCGGGTATGTATAACACGTACGATTCTTACATTAATAAAAGTAACGTTATAAGAAAGAATATTGAATTACGCGCTTGATAAATAAGATCGACGTTTTAAAAGAAAGAAAGAAAGAAAGAAAGAAAGAAAGATAGAAAGGGGGGAGGGAGGAGAGAAAGAGAGACAGAGAGAGGGGAGGGGTAGAGGGAGAGAGGAGAAAGAACATCGATCCTGTTCATAATTCAGACCAGTTTTCATTCGAGGGCTGCTCGTACTTTACGATACAAACTCGTCTGGTGGGTTCTTACATCTTCTTTTTGTCCGTTCCGCAGGCAGGACCGGTATTCGTTGCGAGATTCGCACGGCCGGCGGTCCAGGATGCGTGGCAGCGAGTTGGGAAGACGACTGCAACATTTGCGAGTGTCGAAGCGGAAAGAATCGATGTAGTAACGTCTGGTGCGGTCAGGGTAACTGCTTGAACGGTACGTCCTGTCTGGCGCACGAGGTATGCGTTCCAAGCCCGGGAGAAAGTTGTCTCTCGCCGCCCTGTCCAGCTTGGGGTGAATGTCGACCGGTGGAAACTGGAAGAAGAGTAGGACCACCGGCATTACCGGCACCACCCTCCTGTTGGCCTGGTCAAGCGACACCAGGGCCAACGTGTTCGAGACTGACTATACTTTTGAGAAGAGACACTTTAGCGTCCGGCACGTCAGTCGAGTTGCTCTGTCGTAGATTGAGAAAACTCCTGGCCGATCCGAGGCGACCGCAATTGATCGTTTTACTTTGCGATCTTAAGCCCGGTGACAACGACACCGTCGAAGTTACAATTTTCTCGGAAACGGCAGCCGACGCAGCCAGAGATTTGGGCGAAGCACTTAGCCGTCCTATGGGTAGACCGCTCGCTCTTGCCTCAGTTTTAGAGGTCAAAGTTGAAACCGCTCTTATCAGTGAGCCAAGTTCCAATTCCAACAACGTGGCAGGTGGATACGTAGCCGTTCTTGGCGGTGCTCTTGCAACCGTCCTTTTACTCGCTCTATTTGGAGGACTCTGGTATCTAAGGACAGCGAGACAACGATCGAGCTTGACTGCGACTACCAGCAGCGAGACGTCCTTGCATCGTCATCGTAGTGACCTTGACGAGAAATCGAATAATTTGCAAAACGAAGAGAACCTAAGAAGGTACGCAAATCCATTGAAGGATCAAGATCCTGAACCACGAGTGTCCGTGGTCAGACCATTGTCCGGTGCTTCGCTCGGTTCTCTCGGTACAACGGAAGAGAGTCTCGAAATGGTATCGGAAGAAGGAAGACATCGTTTACCACCCCTTTACAAACCGCCAAGCGCCGAAACGAGAAACAACACGGCGAGCTTTAGTTACGAGGAGGGACCTCACAAACCTTACACCAAACCGAGAATACAGGAACCAACGTACTCGCATCAGCAACCTGGAACGAGTCAGACCTCGGGTCCTCATCAAGTGTTAACGGTACACGTTTAAGTGTTAACCTCTATCTTTTCTGCCACACCAAGGATTTCGAATTTCATTACGGTTTCACTCGATTCATATAACTGTGTTCAAAAAAAAAAAAAAAAAAAAAAGAAAAAAAAAATTACCACCAGACATCTGTACCACCGTATATATTTACTGGCTGGTGATGCAAAGGAAAAAAGGAAAACAAAAAAAAAACGTATACGTTGCTAAGAAAATTTTACTGGTATGTTAAGATTTTTACGTTAAAAGACGCACAAGTTGAAAAAGTTTTACTTCATTGATATTCCGTTAAAAATTAATGAAGAAAAAAGAAAAAGAAAACAAAAAAAAGAAAAACGATCCAACGATCGAAAGACGAATTAAAAAATGTATCTTGTCTTTTCCCCGCAACCCCCCTTACTCCGCCATACCCTTCCCACCTTCCAGCCACCTAACCATCCACAACCCATCCACCCACCCACCAAGTGAAGTTACGTAGGAGAAACGAAATCTATCGTAAATTGTTAAAATTTGTATTTAATCCTTTTCTACGTGTTCGAGAGTTCCCTTTTCTTATGACTTCATGATGCGACAATAAGCGCGATCGCGACGATTATAAGTAACTATAATGATAACATTGTCTCTTGTTATCGTTGTACATATGTATATAGCTCGTACTTAGTAATTTTCGCTGTGACTGCACCGCTTCCAAGTGTCGGCAATCACGACGACTTGATATCTTAAAACTTTGATACGCTGTTTGTTCTCGCATAATAAATAGAGATCGTACGCGTTCGTTGTTATCATATAAACAAATCCATTAGGTGAGGCACAAGGTCGAAATAAACGATGAGAAAAAGGAGAAAAAACAAAAAAAAAATAAAAGAAAAAAAAAGAGAAGAAGAAGAAGAAGAAGAAGAAGAAGAAGAAGAAGAAGAATAAAATAAAATAAAATAAAATAAAACTGAACGTACATATGCATTTATGTGTACACTTACGCGTATTAACAGGGGTGAGATTAAAATGTCCAAGGATGATGTTGTTCTTGAAAATTTTTTTTGTGCTATGAGGAAATACTTTTGTCCTCGTAAAAATGCGTTACTTACAACGTACAACGTAATCGTATATTTACACGTACTGCTTACGATTTTATCGTTAGATTAAAACTGATTACTTTATTAAGCGACGAACATACCGATACCGGAAACGCGTTTATTAATCCTTGGGGTTTGGATATTATTTACCAAACGTCTCTTAAATTCACTCCAGTGAAATCTTTTCCTAAGACTTACAATATAACATGCATACATACATACGTGTAATATGCCGATAACGTGCGATAGATCGATTGCGAAATATATGTATTTAGAATGGTGTAACCTTCGGACGTTCCTTTCGGACGATATTATTGTGATACTATTACGGAACGACTTTCCCACGGTCGTTTTCTACTTTCCTCTCTCTCTCTCTCTCTCTCTCTATCTCTCTCTATGTTTCTGTATCTTTTCTTTTTCTTTTCCTTAATTTTCTTTTTTCTTTTGTTAAGCCTCTCGTTATAATCCTCGTTCGACTTTCAGCTCAAATTAAAGCTGAGCACGAAGGAAGCGAATCGAATTTCGCAGCACTATGATATCGTCATAAACGAAAAAAACGTATATATATATATATATATATTGTGTATGCGCCGTGTTGAAAAGAATAAACAAACCAACCAGCAGAAAAAAAAAGAAACAAAAAACAAACGAACAAACAAGATAAAGCAATGAATTTGGCGATACCTTTAATAGTTAGTATGGTATGTAAAGTACGAACGTCTATCGGCATCTCGAAGCGCTCGAGAAAATATCGATGTAGGTTAAGATAATAAAAGGAAGGAAGTAAACAAAAAGAAAAAACAAAAAAAAAAAACAAAAAAAAAAAAAAGAAAGAAAGAAAATACAAGAACAATTAGTGTAAATACGCCGCTTTTACTTAACGATTGACTATTTCAGTACGACTAAAAGATGAAAAGTGAAAGAACTTCTGATTCTAATTATATTTCTCTCTCTTTCTTTCTCTCTCCTCTCTCTATCTTCATGTCTCTTCCTCCCTCTCTCTTTCTCTCTCTCTCTCTCTCTCTCTCTCTCTCTCTCTCTCTCTCTCTCTCTCTCTCTTTCTCTCTTTCTCTCTCTCTCTCTCTTTCTCTGTCTCTCTAAATAATTTTACTCGCGTAAACGAACGTGCGTTTTTAATTTTAATTTAATCGATAAGTCACAAATGTGATTTTTCTATATTCGATGTTATCTAATAGAGATAGTTGTCAAAATGAATAAACTGGTAGGTCTCTCGTACTTTCGATTCGATTCACTGCAGTGATCGAGATTAATCTCGTACTTCGATATGCGATTAATAAGAAAAAAGAGCGGCGTAGTCAGCCTTCGCGAAGAATTGTAAATAGAATAATTCCTTTCCCCCTTTCTTTTTTTTTTTTTTTTTTTTTATCCACAAGTACATGGATCGGACCATTCTTTTGCCGAGCTCCCTAGCAGAACTCTCTTTATCTAGATGTGCAATTTTCTTTTGTGGTCTTTTTTTTTATGTTTCGTGTTCTTTTATTCTTTTTGTATATTTTTTCTTTTTTTTTTTTTTTTTTTTTATATATATATATACATCTCGTTCCAGCGATTTGACGAGCGAAGCGTCGATTAGTTTGTAAACGCATTGCATAAGCTCCTGCAATGATAGGCATACGACACACGATAGTTTTTTAACACAAAAGAGACAAATTTTTTCCTTTGTTTTTTTTTTCCTTTAATAAAATAAATCCTTTATTTTTTACGAAGAAAAATTATATCACCGTAGGAATATACATATAGATCCGCGACGATTTATATATATATATATATATATATATATATATATATATATAAATAAATATATTATATATTATATATATATTAAATATTATATATATATATATATATTATTTTATATTATATTATTTTATTTTCTATTTCTCTATTTCTATTTCTACTTTCATCTACACTAATTATTCCTAGATCACGGGCAATAGTTTGCATCGACTGGGTATTCTTTCTGATTTCTTTCTTCTTAATAAATTGAAATTGGTAGCCGAATTATATCGTTCGGAAAGGTCTCGAGGATCGATCGTATTCGATCTTACGTTGAACCGAGAGAAAGAAAAAAGAATTGAGACGATCGTTCGAACTAATGCCTTTGGTCGACGATAGATAGTTAATAAGGGATACACCCACGCGTTGTGAATTGTGATCGATCACTCGTCTATGACGATGCCGAGTAAACGAAACGAGCGAATACATTGTGTAAATAAGCTCTCCTCCCTATCCCTCTTCCATCCTCTATTTCCCTTCTCTCGCATAAGTTTACGACGATGAAGAGTTTCAATAAAAAGTACAATCCTTCGTCAATGCTTTGATTTTTTTTCTTGCTTTTTTTTTTTTTTTTTTCTTTTTTTCTTCTTCCTCTCGAACATCTTCCATCAAGCCTCTTTTGTTTTAACAATTAACAAATAAATTGTCATATAATTTTGTTTCTTTTGGAATCAATAATCTTTTTAAAGTTAACGTCAAATATAATATTATAAAATATTTCTTTAACTTCGAAGCTAACGTTAATACAGTCGGTAATATTACATCCCCTGTTTTACTGGTCGACAGTAATTGTGTTATTTACATTTATCATATATCGGAAATAATATCGATTTTCTTATCTCTTTACAAGGATATTCGCTGCAGATTGGAAATTCATGATTTCGTTAGGAGATTGTTTATTTCAACATTATATTCGTGCCAAACTGAATAAAGTTTGAATAAATTCGATGAAATTATAACCCATGTAATTTCGATAATTTGGCTATTTCTAAATTAATTGTCAAGATGAACAGTACACAGGTACGTGTGTATACTATATATATATATATATATATATATATATATATATATATATATATATATATATATGTCATAAAAAATATTGAATTATAAGAAAATATGAATATGCTATAGCAATATATGAAACACTCAATGAAAAAACTTTACGATCAGGAATATGATTACGAAACGTGGGAGTACGAGGAAGAGGCTATTGAAATATTCGAGGAATATGAGTATTCCGATGTTTCCAGCGATGATACCGATATTTTAGATGATTACGATGAACGAGATAAATTGAGAACTGAAGATGAAAAAATGAAGAAGAAGAAGAAGAAGAAGCGTTTATCAAAATTACTCGGTGTAACTTAAATTTGGTAACTTTAATTAAATTGGTCGCGAGTAATACTATAGAATCGCTTATGTTTCTTAATTTAATATTTAACTAGTGATTATATTTAATTAGAAAATTAAGGATTTGTTTTAGATCGATCGAGAAAAGTACGTCGATGTTTCGGTGGAAACTTTGATTACTCCTGAAGAAGTGGACGATGCTTTGAAAAGTTTACCCAGCGAATCTTCGATTCATCTTTGCTTGAAAGGGATCGATATCAGTGATTCGCAAATGATATTATCGAATCTGCATACTGTCTTTTCCATCCCACATGATCCTGGTACAGGACCGGCATTATGGACTGTCGATACTCAAGATATTTTTAAGGAAAATGGCATATATAAATTTGACGAGCATGTAAAGAGGAAAGGTTTAAAAGTGATACATACGATCAACGATATGTTGCATACGGATTGTATCAATTTACGATATTACGGCATCGATCCACGTATCATCGAAATAATTTGTCATGTTCTAAAAAATAACGATTCCGTTCATACGATAGATCTTACGGTATTTTAACGATTTCGTTTGATAGTCGCTCATATTATTTAAATATTGTAATACGTGATAACTTCGTAGGACAATTGGTTGACTAAAAGTGCTTGTTATTATTTGGGTGAATTGATGCAAAAAAGTACCATGATAATCAGTTTAATTTTGTCTAAGTGTCGAATTGGTCCTGAGGGTACGAAAGAACTTTGCAATGGTATATCGATTACATCGTCCTTGATCACTCTCAATCTTAATTCTTGCAACATCGAGGACAAAGGATTAGAAGTATTGGCATTCGCTATAGAAAATAATGAAAGCTTGGAGGAACTTTTTTTAGCGAATAACAATTTAAACAAAACTTGTACCGAACATCTTTGTTATCTCATAATGAATTCTAGATCGATTAAGTGGTTGGATTTATCTTGGAATTCGTTGTTCGATGAGCATACTTGGAAAGCTTTGACCAGTGTATTAACGAAAAATCGTACATTGATTGGTTTAAATTTATCGTGGAACGGGATCGGTACAGAATGCGTTAAATATTTAACAATTGTTTTGAGAATTTCGCATCTAAAAATATTGGATCTAAGTAGTGAGATAATTTATACGAGTCGTCGACGTTACTTTAAATTTAAATTTTATTATAATTGTTTTTTTTTTTTTTTTTTTTTTTCTTTTTCTTTTTAATTCGAAGATAACATGTTCACGAAATTTGACGCTGCAAACATTTCGAAATCTCTATCAAGAAATAGCATATTACAAGAATTATACCTAGGAAACAATCCTTTAGAAGCGGAAGGTGCTTTTATCTTGATTTCATCGATTGATCCGAAAAATTCGCCAGAAAGTGGTCTACGCCTTTTAAATTTAGAAAATGTCTGGGCAGACAAAACTATTCTACCGGAATTAGAAATAATAGAAAATGAAAGGCCATGGTTACAAATCGTATTAGGTGGTATTTTAAGTAATTACATATTAATAGGACCAAATGTTATGAAAATTTTATTAAGAAGAGCTAACTATGAAGCAATGGCACAAAAAAAAAAGAAACTTAGAAGAAACTTTGGACATTTTGTATTATCTTTAAGTGATAAACCAATAAGTCGAGGTATAAGTTACAAAATTATAATACATCTACATGTACATATTTTTAAAACAATATTAAAATATATAAAATATTATGAAATTTATAATGAATGTTATTGTAGGGCAATTTAGAAGATTAATGAGCGAATTTAAATTGAAATTATCTAAATCACTTATTAAAGAAATTATAATGGCTTTCCTTGGACCAAAAAAAACTGTTGATCAAGGACTTCTAAAAGCTGTCTATTTAGAAGAATTTCCAGATACAAAACCTCCTCCAGTCAAGCCATCAAAAGCGCGCAAAGAAAAGGAAGAAGACTTAGTCAAAATAGAAGAACCTGAAAAGCCAGAAGTAAAACGAGAATATAAAGAAGAAGTTAAGGTCAGTTTACAAAATTAAGAATCTGCATAATCATTATAAATTATTATACGTATATATATATATATATATATATATATGTTTGATATTTTATAACCACATATCTTACTTTATTTATGATCACATAAAGTATCCTGATCCAAAAGAAATGGCAGATGAAGTTGAAGAATACATAATTGATGACTTCTATGAAGGGTATTACTAAAAGTATCAATGATTACACACAGCCATTAAATATACAAAAATATTGAAAATTTTTTAATAAAGCATATTAAAAGAGCCAGTGAATGAAATAACAAGAAATTTATTTTATGTGTGTGTAGATATTTTCTTTTCTTTTGCAAATTACTTTACTAGATTTTATTTTGAGCAATATTTGCATTTCTATAATAAATTAAACACAGGATAAGGATAAATTTAATCAATATAAAATATTCTAGCTGCAATATCACTGATAATCCAATTAATACCCTCCACTAAATTTTCTCCCGTCACAGCAGAACATTTATATATCTGCCAGTGATGCGTTTTTATATTAGGTAATTCCAAGATTTCAGCAATGTCCGATGCTGATAGCGCTCCAGGTAAATCTTGCTTATTGGCAAATATTAAAAGACTTGCCCCTTCTAATCTTTCTTCTTGCAATAATTTGTACAATTCTACTTTACAATCTTCTAATCTTCTACGATCTGCACTGTCAATTACCCATATAAGTCCATCGGTAGATTCAAAATAATTCCTCCAATATGATCGTAATGATTTTTGTCCACCCACATCCCATACATTCAGTTTATAACCACGATGTTCTAAAGTTTTTATATTAAAACCAAGGGTTGGAGATATAGTATCAATAGGTTCTCCATTTATTCGTTTTAGAACTGTGGTTTTACCTGCATTGTCCAATCCTCTAAAATATTATTTTCATTTAAAAAATGTAAGTATTAATTTCTAATTAAAAAATATAATAAATTTATAATGTTGTACTAACAACATTAGAATTCTCATTTCTTTTTCTTTCTGCTTCAATTTCTTCAACACCGTTAATAAACCCATCCTTGTGAAACTCTTTACATACAAATGGAATAAAATTTTTCTGTGTCGATCATTCGTTCAACGCACCTCTTTATTCGAGCACACTATTACATAAGTATTATATTTTGTTATTCATACAATTCTTTTTATTTATCGATTGGTTCATCAGCGACTCAAAATCTGATTCGATTATATACGTTCTGGAAAAATAATCACGTTGAATGATTTTTAAAAGAAGAATAACTAATAATCAACATAACCTTTACGCATAATTTGACAATTATGATTTTCCAAAATATGTACCTTTTGTTTATAGTCACGAATAATTTAAAATCTAAATAGAAAATTTTCATTAGTTTCTTTTTTTTTTATGAGGTTTACTATTCCCTGTAGATTATCTTTTGTAACAATATTTAATAATTTTTTACTTTTAAATGAAGTTCTGACGATATTTATGAATCAAGATTGGTAACACTGATGCACTAGTACAAATTTATGATGATATTTATAAATTGACGTTGGCAACATTGATTCACTAAGTAATAAAGTGAAATTATTTTCGTCTTTATCGAGTACTTTGGAAGTTTTTATTTTCTTTTATCAAACGATAATTAATTTTTATCGAAAATATTATATATTTTACGCGATGGGTTGTGATGGTGGAACGATTCCTCGTAGAGACGAACTTGTGAGAATAAAAAAGAAGCCAGAACAAGTAAGTACATAGAAAATGTTTCTTGTATATATTAGATAACCAACAAAATTTAATTTCGAAGAAACAATTGAGAATATGTTAATATCATTATATTGCAATAATTAAATTGCAGTTATGTTATGTAAAATCTTACATGTATATCGTTTCACGTATATATATATATATTTTTTTTTTGTTCAATAAAATATATGGTTTGAAAATTTTGCAGAAAGACAAGGACGCCGAGTTAGCCTTCAGATGGAAACATTGTACTATACGACAGTTGCCTCTACAACCACCCGTTGTAGCTTGTGGATTAGGACGTCTTTATAGCAAGGAATCAGTTTTGGAAGGACTTCTTGATCGAGATACACTTCCAGAATCAGCAGCACATATAAAAAATTTAAAGGATATAAAGAATCTCAATCTTACTCCTAATCCAGCATTTAATGGTAACAAAGCAGAAAAAGGAGATTGTTATGTTGATGGTGGAAAGAGTCCATATATCTGTCCAGTTATTGGATTGGAAATGAATGGAAAGTACAAGTTTTGTTTCTTGTGGACATGCGGCTGTGTCATGAGTGAACGTGCTCTGAAAGAAGTAAAAACCTCTGTAAGTAATGTGTAAATTCCTTTTTTTTTTTTTTTTTTTTTTTACTTTAGATGTATTTAGAAATACTTTAGAATGTAATTTGTTTTTATATTTATAATTATTCTTTTTCTCATAGATATGTCATAGATGTCAGGAATCTTTTACGGAAGCGGATATTGTTATATTAAATGCAGATGGCGATGATCTTAAACTAATGGAAGAACGTTTAAGTGCACGAAAAATTGCACAAAAATCATTGAAGAAGAAAAAGAAAAATAATGAAAGTACCTCGACAGAAGCTACTAATGAAAAGGATGAAGTACCAAAAAAGAAAATTAAAAAGGAGGAAAAACCCACTATAACTAAGAAAAATATAAATAGGAATGAAGCAGAAGATCCTGCATATAGGAAAGCTAAAGAGAGTTATAGTGTTGCAAAAGATCCTAAAGCATCTGAAGTTTTCAAAAGTATATTCACAAGTCATAAATCTGCCGTGGATCAAGATAGGGCACATTGGATTACATACAATCCATTTTATAATTAGATTAAATTTATTAAGATTACTTATTAAGATTTTCCTTTAAATATACTTTATATCCTCTAATTCATGTACTTAAGTAATAGTTTTAGTTAATTTTCTTACCATTATTGAAAATGGTAATTTGAAATGTGAAAAACTAATGTACAAAAAGTAATAAAGTATTTATTAAAATTTTTACGAAATTTTTTTTGTTATATATCTGACCACGAATTTATTTATGACTTGTCAGTTATTTAAGAGAAAAATAATTTTTGTTACTTGTAATTCTAAATTTCTTAAGTGTATAATAATAAGTGTTTACAAAATTATTTAATGTAACATGACGTTTTTTATTGGCACAGACGTGAGTCGTAATTTATGTTTCGTACTTTAGCCAGTAGAGTGCACTTAGGTATCATTCAGTGAAAAATGACAGCGAAAATACAAAAACAATACGAAGCACGTGTTTTATCTTTTGTATTAAAGTTATAAGAAACGTAAGGATCAATGTCAATGTTTTATATTTTTATACGTCAAGATCATAAATTTCGTCCTTTTTTTTTATTCTTTTCATATAGAATATTTCTTTATATAAATGATAACAAAAAGGCGTACGACACATAACCTATAATAATTGTTTGTACGAGCGTTATTAGTTTCAATTTCTTATATTATTTGATATAATTTTTAAAACAATTTTTTTTTATAGATCTTAACCGGAAAAATATGGCTAATGAAATAATGACAGACGAGAAAGTAAATGACATAGAAAGTACAAGAACAGATTTTTTGGTCTTAGGTTCTAAAAGTCACAAGAAAAAACGTGAAGTTAAAAGAGTATTGCCAAATTGGTTAGCGGATCCAGAAAAAATATCTGCTGATTTAAATAGTGGTCCAACATTGGATGAAGTGGATTCCATATTAGACTCACAACTTATTGAAATTTTAAAGGCAAATGGAATTGATAAATTATTTCCAATTCAAGCTAGTATATTAGCTTGGTTGTCGAAATCCGAGGAGGATAGAAAATTAGGATGGTGGCCACGAGACATTTGTGCTTCTGCACCAACAGGCAGTGGTAAGAATTATTTGTTGAATATCGTATAAATAATTTTACCTTTTCTTATTTCCGTAATAAAAGTATATATTGTAATATAATAATTTTATGTTTTAGGTAAAACCTTGGCATATGTATTACCGATTGTACAACAATTGCAATTTAGGTTAGTACCAAAAATACGTTGCTTAATCGTAGTGCCAGTTCAAGAACTGGCTGTACAAGTTCACAAAGTTGTGGTCACTTATACATCTTATACAAATTTAAAAGCAGGTTTGATTACGGGTGCCTCATCTTTTGAACAGGAACAAAGTAATATAATAAGGAAAAGTAAGGAATTTTTTTTTAAAACAAATTTTCTTTCAATGATAAATTTTAATATAAAATGAAGAATCTAAATTTCTCTCATTTCTTTTCTTTTTTACAGCTCTTTCTGATGAGTATATAAGTAGAGTAGATATATTGATTGCTACGCCAGGTCGTTTAATTGATCACATATTAAAAACTCCTGGCTTTTCCTTAGAATCTCTTCGTTATCTTGTTATAGATGAAGCAGATCGTGCAACTGAGTGGTTACAGTATATTCCTGAACCTCACTCAGGTGCACCGCCATTAACTTTGGCAAATTTATCTTCAAGGTATTATCGTATGATCTTATTAACGATATATCTTTCAATATATTTAACGATATACATATATATGTATATATATGTATATTAGTTTATATAACATTTAAACATTATTGTATGTTTCAATTATAGTCCTCCATTTGCGCAAAAATTATTGTTCAGCGCAACTTTGTCGCAAGATCCACAGAAACTTCATCAATTTAAACTCTTTCAACCGATACTCTTTACATCGGTAATAGTTTCTGACAAAGATACTGATGTAAATTTGGATGAGGAAATAGGGAATTTTATAGGACGTTACACGAGTCCTGAAGAATTAAAAGAACGTGCAGTCGAGTGTTCCCCAGAATTTAAACCGATTGCACTTTATCAAGTTTTGGTACGAAAGAATACTATTCCTAAAACTTTGGTATTTACTAATTCTATTGAATCGGCACATAGATTATCATTACTATTGCAATTACTTTTATCCAAGAGTAATGTCGTTGTTAGAGAACTTTCTAGTAGAATCGTAGCCAAGCAACGTGAGGAGATACTAAATAAATTTGCTTTAAATGAAATTAACGTGTAAGTATGTGCAAACAATATATGCATATTATATTAATATATATAGTTATCGATGATAATTATATATATATATATATATATATATATATATATATATATATATATATATATAGTTATCGATGATTAATTTTAATTATAAAATATTATTACGATAAATGTATGTATTTCATGTTTTCTTTCTTTTTTTTTCTCTCTCTTTTTTAGTCTTGTTAGTACAGATGCATTGGCTAGAGGCATAGATATACCAAATATTCAATTAGTCGTATCGTATGATCTTCCAAAGCATATTAAAGGATATATACATAGAGCTGGAAGAACAGGACGTGCGGGGAAATCTGGTGTTGCAATGTCTATTCTTACACACAATCAAATAGGAATATTTAAACAGATGTTGAGTTCTGTTCACAAAACATTACCAAAAGTGAAACAAATGGAATTAACGGATATCGCGGATACGTTAGATTATCAGAATCATCTTACTAAATTAAAAGATCTTTTGGAGGAAGAAAAGGTCATTACTTTGAATCGAAAAAAAGCAAAAAAACGGAAATACAATCAACAAAAGAAAAATAAATAATGTTTATATCTTGATTTCTCTGTTTGTATACTTCCAAAAAGTAATCTCCTGCAATAAAATAGGTCGAATAACGCCGTAAATACAATTGAAAGGGTAACATCGATAATAACATTTTATTGTCTGAAGTTAATAGTATCGTACATCATGCTTATACCCTACCGCAAATAACTCTATGAGCAGCTGAGATATCTTCAAATTGTTTACTAATTATTACTCCCACGGCTTTATTTCGTCGAAGGCAGATATATTCACAATTTTAATTTATAAAAGATAAAAATGATCATTTATCGAATAACGACACAGACGCAATTTTATTACTATTATTGCTGTGTTTAACTTCACTGCTCAAAGAACGACGATAATTGTCACATGTTTGTGATAAAAAGGAAAAAAAAAAAAATTAGAAACTAATTATTAACGAAAGAAAATAAAATAAAAATAAACAATTCGAAATGTTTCACCAAATTATGAATGAAAATAAATCTTGTTCTTTTTTTTCGCAAATCAATGGATCTTCATTTTATCAGATTTATGTTTCGTTTCGCACGGAGATAGACACAGCATACAATAATAATTTGCAATAGTGCAGGTTTATCATTTCAATTTAAAGCATGTCTTAAGCTGTCGGGGTTTGTATATTAAACTCGTTGTATTAATCGGTTAAAGAATGGGAAAAATTTATTCGTTGAAATTTCATTTCTTTGTCGTCGTCGTCGTCGTCTCTCTTCCCCTCATTTTATAAATATCTTTTAAAATAACACACATTTTCTTTTCCTACGTAATTCTTTCAAATTCGTTTTCTCTAATTTTATACACCATTTTCCATTTTTTTTCTTTTCTCTTTCCTTCCTTTTTTTTTTTTCTTTTTTCTTTTTTTTTTTTTGATTTTTTCATTAAGAAACGAAATCAATCGACGAATAACAATAACAATCGATACCCTCGTTCATCCATTTGAAGTTCTTGCAGACAAATCTATCCTTTCTTTCTTCTTTATTTTTCTTTCTTTCTTTCTTTCTTTCTTTCTTTCTTATTATTTTTCGAACAGGCAAAGGTAACGAAAAAGCGACCAAGTTATCCCCGAAAGCTCAATAACTCCAGCAGCGAGAGGAATATCACGCTCGTATGCACAGGATTCACATTGAATTTATATTCTTTTAAGATACGTACATACATGCCCGAACGATATATACGTTTTTATAGCGAATCGAATCATCATACGTTTTCTCGCATCCGTCAATATGTTACACTTTTATTATAATATATGTATGTATAGATTGAATGTTCATTTCATTAATCGCGTTATACAAAATCTAATTCAAATTTGACAACGAACGATGCGAACGCTTTTCATTAATTAATAAAAAGTGTTATTTTATTCATCATTCGTTATTCTTCATTAACGTTTCCTATCGACAGAGTCAACACTGAATTTTGTATTATTTACACGAATAGATTCGTTAATGTTTATACGTGTGTATGTACATACATATAATGTGGTCCTATATGATTCATATGTCTCGTTGCCATGTATATGTATTATCCTTCCTTAGTTTTAATTAATAATTCATACATCCGTCGTGCAAAGACCTTTTTGAAACTTATCGTCGATCACGGTATCACTATTGCTATCCTTTTTTCATATAATATTGTCTATTTAATAATAGCGATGAAATAGCGTATAATAGAGAGAAAATTAATTGTCTTATTAAATAATTAATAATTATAATAACTTTATATATCTACATATATATTAATTATAAAGTTGAACATAATCGTTTGAATTTGATTATTGTATAAAGATAAATTAAATGATTATTTTTATAATTATCAACCGTGACCGACGAATGAGTAAAAGAATATTTAAGAGATTTGCAGAGTACATACATATGAAACTCCCTGGAATTAGTACGATTTATATTTTTTTTTATAAAAGATGACTGCTTTCTTTTAATTTGATAAATATTAACGTTGATCAATGTAAATATTATCAATGTGTAGGAGATGCTATTCGATGAAATTGAACTTCCAAGACGGGATAGGCAGTGGTGAATTTACGCATAGCTAGTGCAATAGGCCGTTTTGGTCTCCATAAAATAATATCTTCATAAACATAATATCCCATACGAAACAATATAAATTTATATTATATAATAAATTTAATTTAATGCCTCTGTTCGCCCTGTTATATAATTCTTATTTCGATATTATTTTTTATTATAATTGAATTTTTGATCAATGTATTTCTTATTTCATCATTTGCATGAACAATTGAAACGAGAGAAAAAAAAATATGTATTTTTTTTGTGCATAATTTATTTATTTTAATGGGGGATCCAAAAATTTGTAACGCCTTGAACCACTTGAAGGCTAAACCCGTCGTTTTAATACAGATAAAATTATAAATTGATATCTCTACAACAATCTACGATAATCAATTAATTAATACTCGCATTATCTTGTTTTCTTTTTTTTTTTTCGTTTTTCTTTTTCTTTCGTCATTATAACATTATCGTAGGAAGATTCCAGTGAGTTTATTAAACAAATATTCTCATTCAGATGGGAATCTATCATACTTTATTTATTGTCGTATCCTCTCCTTCTTCGCACAGAGACTACAGAATATCAGAATTCGATCAGTTTATCTATCAATAATAATTTACGTACCGACTTCGTGAAGTTCGGCCATACTTTTTTTTTCTCGATCGTTAACTACGTTCATTTTCACTTTCTTCTTTCTTCTTCTTCTTCTTCTTCTTCTTCTTCTTCGTCTTCTTCTTCTTTTTTATTATTTTTTTCTTTTCTCATCTTCACGTTAGAATAGAGGCCTTTTTAAGAAAATATTATGGAAGACGACATAATTTTACGTAGACGGTTGCTGTATACTTTTGTTCATATACGAAATATTATTATAAAAATTATATATAATTATTAATAAGCATCGGACTACATTATTTCTATTGATTATACGATATTGTTCGTAAGAAAGCATTAAAATACGATCAATAATAATAACAATAGTAATAGTAATTAATGATGATGACTTTAAGTTCTCGTAAGAAAAAAAGAGAAGAAAAAGATTCCATTTGTTATTTATAATTTCTTTGCGATCTAGTGAAAAATAGAAATAAAAAAAAAAAAAAAAAAAAGAAAAGAAATCCAATGATAATATTGTAAATGGCCAAATCATTTCTCTTTCGATTTTCATCGGTATCTCGTCTGATCTTTATCACGAATCCGATTTTACATTAATAGCGACATATCCTGTCACTTATCATCTGAAAGTTATCTACAATTTTAAATAATTCCGTTTATCTAAATAGGTCTACTAATATCTGGCACGCGAGAGCCAAGTTAGTCTACTCACATACATTCACAGTTTCGTATTTACAGAATTTTTTTATCGAAAGAATCCTTTCGTTTTTGGTCGCACCATAATTACTCTGTGTTCGCTCCTTTTTTGTTTTTTTATTATTCTTTTTGTTTTTTTTTTGTTTTTTTTTGTTTTTTTTTGTTTTTTTGTTTTTTTTTCAATGGACCTAAAAATTTACGTCCTCATGTTTATTACATCGTTTAGAAGGAAGACCTTGTTCTTTTTTTTCTGTTGATTTTAATTCAATTTTTTTTTCCTCATACGGTAACGATAGTTTCACCGTATTGTATTCTTCTCTCTATCTCTCTCTCTCTCTCTCTCTCTCTCTCTCTCTCACTCCCTCTCTCTCCCTCTTCTTTTTCTTTTTTCTCATTCCATTTTTATTAATTATTACCTTATCAAAGAAATATGATTTATACATCTATAACGACGCAACTATCGAACGCTAATTTGCGAAAGAGCCGATGCAATTTATGAAAACTATCGTTAAATAAATTCATAAGAAAATGTAGAAAATTTGTTTCGTAGGAAATATTTTCTCGATGATATTACTTAGATCATTTAGAAACTTTACCGATATATTTATGTACGTGGGTAAATACGTATGTGTACGTGTTAAAACTTAAACGATAAATAAAAGAATAATTGTAAAATTAGATTTTCGTACTCGTTCTGCTTAATTCGTATTTTACAGAGTATATCGACTCTATGTGATAATCGAAATCATCGCTTTTAACGAGAGATAAATAAAATAAAAGAAATAAATGTATTAAAAAATCAAATAAATATTCAAGTTAAAATTTTTCAAGGGAAATCATGTGATAACAAATCGAGGATAGTACAGAATCCGTGCGAGGAAGATTAAATTCTTCTCATTCTAATAATAAATTAAACTTTCTTTCGTCTCTGATATTTCATCAGCTTGAACTTGAATTGCTCGTGTATTTACAGTCACGTATTTATTCGTATTCCGTCAGAATGAAAAAATTTCTATTTGATATCGTAGGATTGTCGCATACGCACGGTGCGTTTTCATTTTAATCTCATTACTGCCGCAATAATGCCAAAACAAATGAAAGAAAAGCTTTTGTCGTAACGCGATATCTTCAAATAAAATAAAAAATATGAAAACGAAGAATTAAAGTGCAAAGGAAAAGAAGTAAAATATATGTAAAAATAAAATCGCATGATCTAAATTGAAATTGAAATATGTGAAATAATTAATAAAACAAAACGAAAGAAAATTTATCATATTTTACGAATAATTACGACAATTTAGGAGTATCGGGAGAGATACGAAAAAAAAAAAAAAAATATATATATATATATATATATATATATATATACACACAAGAGAAAATCATTTTGATCTCGATCACAACACGGACAGCACACGTCGTCGTCGATGGGCTTCGTACAAATTGACGAGATTTTTCATTTTAAAAAAGGCTCGTCAACCTCAACAAAAGAAGGAGAAGAAAAATAATGTCTCGAATAATCGGACCTTGTCTAGAACTCGCTGCGTTAACGTCTATCCATGGCGGAGAGACAGAGGGAAAGGTCAAAGGCCGATCAGTTTTGCCACCTTCGTGCAAAGTACTACCGGCCATTATTTGCGTTGTTCCAAGGTCATCTTCATTCCCTATCGAATCCGTATCATAACTGCCCATCGCATGAACTTTTCGTCTGTTGTTATTGTTCCCACCATTCATCTTTTTCTTTTCCTTTATGATCGGTTTTTTTCGTAGTCTAGTCTCCGTATTCTTCATTAGAATGCTCGGCGTCGTCTTATCGACGAGTTGCAACTCTGTCGGGAAGAAGAAAATGAGAAAAGAAAAAAATAAATCAATCAATCACTTTTAATGCCTTAGATAAAAATCATAATCTTAACTTTACGTAATTCAATAAATTAATAACGAATAAAATAAGTATAAGCAATATCAGTAATAGAACAATTATACATATGGTACCATAAAATACATTGTACGAGATTTGTTCGTTTGCAGATTTCAACGATGAGCTTAGAAATTTTCTTTATTTTCTCTTCTCGATACGGCTCGATCAATTTGTTAATTATTTCACTATGAAAAAAAAAGAAAAAAAAGAAAAAAAAGAAGAGAGTAGAACGTATTGTCTCTTGCAGAATTTTTTGTGAACGTTTCTTGGGAATCATATTGATAAGATAATGATATATTGATAGAATTGTCAAAGTATATCGATCGATCGAATCGACGTACCTTGGAGACGAACACATCCATCCGCATTTCCAAGGGCGTTCACCGTTGAACAGACGTATCCACCAAAGTCACCCTTTTTGAGAGATTTGACAGTGAGATTCATCTGCCACGAGTAATCGCTCAACTGCTCCTCCGACATCGTGTATTTGTCGTTCGTCGGCAGCTTTTCCCCTATACCGGTGATATTGCATCGCTTTTAATTTGGCCAAGAGCTTTCCGAATACGTCACGTCGTTCATTTCGCACGCGTAACGTCATACCGCAGGTAGATTTGTCGTTGAAAGTACTGTGTAATACGACGTGATAGAGGGAGAGGTAAGAGTATACGTTTATGTTCTTGTTTGTCTCTTTCTCTCCGTCTGTATTTATAACTACGTCCTATCTATATATATGTGTGTGTGTGTATTTGTGTGTGTGTGTGTGTGAGAAACAGAGAGAGAGAGAGAGAGAGAGAGAAATATTCTGTTTATCCTTATGAATACGAACAATCGTCGTCCATTTCAATGAAATCGTCAATCGTCGGAATAATTATGTTATACATAATTTAAAGTTAAACGAAAGTTATAGAGTGCAACAATTGACATTGTTGTAGGTTAGATAAAAGAATAAATTAATAATATAAAATATAATAACTAACTAATGATGAAAATTTTATCAAGTTAAAACGTTTCTTTCCTTGTCCTTCTCTCTTTCTTTCTCTCTCTCTCTCTTTCTCGCTCTATCTATCTCTATCTCTATCTCTCTTGCTATTTATATTCTCCTTTATCTGTCATCCTGTTGAAACACCCCAACGGCATTGACAATTACTAGGCATTTCTCTCACCTGAGTCCCTGTACCAGGTGTTCATAGCTTGCGGCGAAGCCTCGACGTAGCACTGTAGTACGACGTCGCTGTCAACTGGAGCGCCCACCAATTGATTGGGTATTCTGATCACTGGTTTGACTGTATCAGAAGAAAGAGTTTGATAAAAATAGAAGAGAAGGAGAGGAGAGGAGAGGAGATGGAGAAAAGAGAAAAGAAAATAAGAGCAAAGTGAAAAAAAGAAAAAAAAAGAAAAATAAAAGGGAAAGAAGCGTAAAACAAATTTTATTTACAAAATATTGGAAATGGTGTAATAAAAATTATAGGGCAATGTTAAAACGTCACATAATTCATACGCCACCATTTTCTTTCTTCATGCTTCTTTAATTATTTCTATACTTTCACGATAATCGATTTTTACTCTACACGTAGGAAATTGTGTACTTCTCTTTTATTTTCTTTTTTTATTGTTATTTATTTATTTATTTTTGTTCTTTTCTAATTCTTTCTTCACACGTGAGATGACGTATGCGGCTTTAATACTACGTTAAATTAAATCTAGAATTGCGTTCCAAAATTCGTAATTGGAATGTTGAGGATGTTATGAACAGCATTTGATAATAATTAAATTAACGATTACATTTGAAATATTTAATTATCAATCGCAAATGAACACTTAAACTTTTAATTACGCCAATGGTATACCATACAATACGATTAAATTAGTTACTTAATCAGTTTGATTAATGATTAACAAATGGAATTTTCATTATTGTGAAATTAATACTTGAGTATCGTATAATTTGTATATTGACGATTTAAACAAATTTTTTTTTTAATATCATATCATGTCGGTATTTATTTAAGATTTTTTTTTCTTTTTTTTTTTTTTATCAATTTCATCGAAAAGTTCTATTACATTATATAATCATTATATTATTTATTACTAAATATTATATAGGATTATATTAGATTGAAAATATTATTGATTATTTATTATATAAAATAATAATGTAAACATCATATCTATCTATTACGATATAAATTAACGTGAAATAATCTTCTAATTTTGTTTACGTTAAGAGAAGGATCTTTCATCCATGGTAATAATTTATTCACGGTTAAGGGATGCTGGTTTAATTAACAGGTGGGACAAGTAGGTGATGGTAGCATGGACGGTTTGCACAGGCTGCGATACCTACAGTGAACAGAAACGGTGTAACGTTTGCTGACCCTTGGTGGCACACTACTGCTGGCTATACAGAGATACGTCCCCATCTCTTGTCGCAAAATTCCCGTAAGCTCCAGAGTTTCTCCCTCGTAAGTGTCGAGAACTGTAAAGAGAAAGAGAAGACCAAAGTGAACCAGAGAAAAAGAGATACAAAGAAAACTTCATTATATTTTGCTCTATTCTCGTCATTTTATTTATAACAATTAATCTTTAAATCGTGATCTCTCTTTGTTGTTAATAATCGATATTTCGAGGAGATCATTTTATCATTTCATCCCTTTCTATTTTATCTTTATTCTTTTAATTTTTTTTTTTATGTAATATTTCTTATTTTATATAATATTTCTTTACTTTCGTTTCAACGAGAACACAATGAAATACGAAAGCTCGTTCCAAGGTAATCTTTTTTCTAAATTTCACCTCGCATTACTCTTTTAGAGTTAAAGAAGGGGAAGCTTGAAAGTCTCTAGAAGCATTCTAGAAATCTGAAATATCACAAGCGACACCAAGTACTATGCTCCTCTAAATTCGAGTGACTTTCAAGAGACAAGAAAGTGCGGAAGTGTCCGGGAAGCCGGAAGCGAGGCCGCACGCGGATGCTTCGCTATTGTTTTACGGTGGACGCCTTCCCGTAAATTCCTCCAGGCAGAAGTTACCTAAGGTTACTACGTTTGGAGTATTCGAAATGAAAAATAACTTTCTTCTTCTTGCCTTCCTGAATTTTCTTTTAAAAAATCTCACCTCTATGTTTCGTTACGTTGAAAATTCGTCGTGCGACATCTTTGATAATACAATTTCGAGAATAATAAATTGTTCTTAGGATAAATTTTTAACGAAGTTTATAAAATATGGGAACACATGATAAACCTATTATTAATCATCAAGAATATTAATAAACAATATCAGAGCTAACTTTCGTTGTGAGATTGATCATCCGATGTAAATATGTACGAATTAATTAATTAAATATTTTCTTTCGTTAACAACTTGATCGATTTTCTTTTCAAGGATGTATTTTAAAAAATAAGCCAGAAAAATAATGAATAATTAAAAAGTGCATTCGAGGATAGATCGTACCTTGCTTTTTTCCATCTTCACGAAGTACGATCTTCCTTCCATCTTCTCGTTTCCAATTGACCGTTGGTTTTGGAAGACCCGTTGCAATACATCTAAGCCTCAAGTTACCACCCTCCTGTGTCACCAAACCGTTCGCTGATTCGTCGTCCATTATATCCGGTGGTATCACTACTTCCATGTAGCCCATCTAAAGTAAAAATGTCAATTGAAATTTCAAAATACGTAATAGTTCATAATTATTCACAAACTTATAAACATTACGAATATATTAAATTTTCTTAATAAAAAAAGTCAAGATGAAATACAATTATTAATTAAATATTTATTTAAAAATTCAATCTTTTAAATACGTAATTTATTTTTTATAGTTTTAAATAGAATAATTTACTTTTCATATCTCGACATTTCTTATCCCTCTTTCTCTCTCTCTCTCTCTCTCTCTCCCTTTTTCTCTCTTCCTTATTATTTCACTTTGTCGAGTGAAAATTGAAATCGTAGCAATTTCAATGAAACGCGATGATAAGTCAAGCGTGAAGCTCGTTGCGTAAATCTGCAAAATTTTTCTATCCCGCCCTTACACCGCCCCCTCTCATCGAGTTCTCGTTTAATCGCGGTCAGCCGAGCGAATTTTTCGAATCCTCGATGATATCCTTTCTCTCTCTCTTTCTTTTTAGTTCTTCCTCCCCACCACCACCACCATCACCAACAGATTTTGTTTCTGTTTCTTTTATCATCTACATTATTTTTTATTTTTATTTTTTAATCTTTTTTCTTTTTCTTTCTGTTTGTTCGTTTCACCAGATTTCTTTTTTACTCGTTCTCATCTCTTTCTCCTTTCCGTCTCTCGTTTTTATAGTAAACTACAACGAGGTCTCTTACAAGCCCTTTATCTCGCTGTAGCGTGGTCGTATATTGCATCGGAAGGTTTCCTCCTTTAGCGGTCGCATTGAATTCCGTAGAACACGTGTGTACCGCCCTACGACCACTAAATCGTCCAACTTTCTCTCTCTCTCTCTCTCTCTCTCTCTCTCTCTCTCTCTCTCTATTTCTCCCCGTTCTTACACATATGTATACGTTTCCAGACTCGTAAAAGCTACTGCCAACTTTTACGCTCGCGGCCAAAAGAGTGTCATCGCAAATATTTGTTCATCTCTTTAAACGAACTTGCAGTACAAGCAACATTCTTATTTATTCTTTCCCTTTTTATTTCATTTTATTTATTTATTTATTTATTTTTTTTTCTTTTTATAATTTCATTATTTAATGTCACGGTCAACAATTAGCGCGTATTTTTATATTTATCGTAAGAAATAAAATCAACCATGATGCCATGATGGATAATTTTGTTCATCAATAATTAAAAAATTTTATTTATTCTTTTTATCATATAAAGAAATATTTCTACGATTACCCGTGTAAATAGAAATTAGATGATGGAAGAAGGGGTGGAGGAAGGAATTTAGCGACTTAGTTGTTAGTTATACCGGGGCATAACGGGCATCGACGCGAGAATAATTCGTTCCCCGGTAGAAGAAAGGAAGGAGCCAACGGGAAACCATTTAACACCCTTCCTACGTCTAACCAGCCCTTCCATATAATGCAGCTTCCGCGTAGTCGTACGTACGGTAATCGAGGGTTCTCGATTCCCCCTTGCTCTTGCTTCTAAAAGTCTCTTAAAAGCCGACTTGGCCGATGTTGAGACGAAAGCCGACGCATACACTTAATAAAATTCCAATTCGATCCACTTATATTCTAGAAGAGAGAGAGAGAGAGAGAGAGAGAGAGAGAGAGAGAGAGAGAGAGAGAGGGGTAGGGCTCCATATACGCTGGTCTATCTTATAGATCGAGGGATCCTTCGCGTTGTGGGAAGCCATATTAAAAAATGTCAAATCAGGCAAATTCGAGGATGAAGACAAGTGGTAGAACGTTTAACAATTCTTTTGAGAACTTCTTCATTTGCGATACTTCTTTCTTTATTATTCTATTTATAACAGCAAATATAATTTAGATAAGATGAATGTTAGATAATTAGGAATCAGTCGACATTCGGAAAGGTCATTCTTTTCCTTTTTTTTTCTTTTCTATTTTTAATCTTTTTTCTTTTTTTTTTTTTATCATCCATTATTATCCATTTTTCGTAAATAACTAAAAGTCTTGTAAAAATTATACGACGATGTTTCTCATATAAAATTTTACATTATATATATATATATATATTTCTTTTGTAATCTACATAATTATTGTACTCGCTTAAAGTTTTATCCTTAAAGTACACCCTTTTGGGCCACCTATTTCCTTTATTCTTCTTCGACCGTAAAAGTTTCGTATTTCCTTTTCTTTCACTCGGCATAACGTGCCTTCTGTAACGAACATTCGACGAACGGTTATAAGGAAAAATAATGGCAAAGTAAAGGAAGGCGGATATTAAAAAGTTACGATACAGGCTTCATCGTGAAATTTCAGAATAGTGACAATATCAGCATGCGTTGTAACTTTTAGTGATAGTCTATTCTTTCTTATCTTTTTTTTTCTTTTTTTTACTTTGAAAAGTGCATATGTTTTTAATATTTACGATAGCAATGAACAAGTTAAAAGAATCGTAAAAAATATTTTTCTAGAAATGATCATAGAAAAACATTAAACGGATACGTCCTTCGAAAATATTTTTAAATGATTATATCGATCGAATAAACATTATTAATTAAATTTATTCGAATATCGCATATGAATTTACCTGACTTCGCATTGGATCAGTATTGACTTGACACATGTAGCTACCGGAATCATTCTTCTGAACGTTCGATATGTGCAGCTTCCACGTGTTGTGTCCATTATGAGTGACAGATAGCCGTGGGTTGTGTGTAACCATACGTGTATGTATCGCTAAGATCGCCCTAGAATCCGACTTAATCCAGGCTACCTGCGAATGTTAAATCATGAAAAAAAAAAAAAAAAAACAAAATGAAAGCATTTTTATAAATGAAACATAAATAATTAAATTTAATTGTAATTCATAGAAAATTATTACGTGGCATTAATTAAATCGAATTAATAGATTTACTTCGATTAACGAAATTTATCTAAGATGAATTCGTTTTACAAATTGACATACATAGATGCTTATGTATAATTAATAAATATATAAAATTTCTTTACCCTATAGGATTGTAAATGATTCACAACGCAAGTGAACGACACGTCACGTCCCTGGATTACTGTGTGATTTTCCAAAGGGGCTAGGAACTCTGGTATAACTTCCGGGGTAATTTGACCTAAGATATTAATACGAAGTGGTTAGTCCAGTCAGTTTCTTGTTTTCCTTGGAGTTTAATTAAAAGCTTTCGAATATTGAAACGTACATTTCGTAGAATGAAATAATGATTAACGTTGTTAGTTTCATTTACATATGTAGGTAAGGTATGTAGATAATTGTAAAATGGAATACGTCATGGAAAAAGTTCAAATTTAAATAATTCCTGATTTAATCGAAAGAAATAAATATATAAAATAAATATAAAAAATAAATATAAATCGCAAGAAATATTATACGTATATATACATGTATATGTATAGATAACAAATAGATAATAAAGATAAAATGCTTAAGAGCCGAACAACGATCGTCTACGATCTAGTTGCGACTTACTTTAGAACGTGTCGTTTTTCAATACCGTAATTCTGTTTATCGACGTTCAGTGTCCTTTGATCCTTTATATTTTATTTGTTTATTGTATATAAGAACTCCGAGTAAATTCTAAGAATTCGGAGTCCTTGACTGATACGAAATAATAACACGACAGATACGAGATATATAACAAGAAATGTTTAACTTTCGATTGTTTCGATGTTATCTATTGATGTATAGCTACTTTTGACTTTCGTGAGAGTGGGGATACATAAACGTTCATGACATAATCGTATACGCCAGTCTTCAATAAGCACTCCGAAGGTATACACGTACGGAATCTGTCAGTGAAATCAACGTCGGCCAGATTCAAGAGGATCAAACGTAAGAAAAAGATTTTTGTCTCTTTAAAAAGTATAACTTACATTATAAAAATTGTAATAACAACGAGATAGTAATTGCGTTGCGAAAATTTTCTCGATTCACGATATCTCATTTTAGAATTTATACGGATAAACGAGCACACTCTCTTATATCGATTAGATATATTCAATCTCGAAGAAAGTAATATTCTCTATACCGTTTCTCATAGCTCTTGTATGTACCTACACGATAAAAAGACTAAAAGAGAAATAGAGAAATAGAGAGATAGGTGATGAAAAAGGAAGCGCGCAGTGTTTCGACGCCCATATTCCGCCCTATCGAAATTCTCGTATGCGTTCATGCAAGAAAGGCGATAAATGGAAAAATTCTTCAGTCTCGCATTCGCACTGCCGTTCGAGGACGAACGAATGAAAGTCGAAGAGCGAAGGGAACACGAATGGAGCACGATTTTCATGGCATGGTTTTACGATCGAGATTCGTTCTCTACCGAAAGGTTAAGGGTAGTTGAAAGGGTGGGTAGTTCGAAAGTAGAAAAGGAGGGAGAAGGCATGATCGCTTTTCTCTCTCGCTTAGGAATTCTAATTCTGCGTTAAATTCTTTATTCCGTCGCTCATCGGACATTTGAAAGGAAAAAAAGAAAAAGGAAAAAAGAGGAGGGAAAAAAAAAGAAATAAAAAGAAGAAAAAGTAGAAAAAAGAAAGGGCATAAGCATGAATTCGTTTGGAGTTAAAAGTAAGTACGAGAACGTATTCGTGAAAATGAAGTTGAGAAGAAGTTTCCAATATGATATTTTTCATTTCTGATATTTGTTAATTTCTCTTCGAAAGATAAAACGTACAACTTTGATAAAAGATTTGGCATGCAATTATTCTTTTCCCCTATGGATATTTCGTAGCATCGCGTATATACTCGTAGAAAAGCACGCGATGTTGAATGGAATAGTTAGGCTAGTAACATTAGCTAGTGTATTGGAAACTATGCTTGATTATAGAATAGACGTAGATTCTAACAGCGCGTACTACCTCAAACATCTCGAGGTTTAAGGAGACTCTCTACCTCGCAGATTAGCTATTATAACAACCGGTGCTATTGAAACCGGTCAGGAAATTTAATCGAGAAGTTATAACGGTAAATACGCGCGGAAGGTTACGTTGCATTGTTTTAGAATTATGAGAATTAATTCTTCTACCGAAAGAATTTCGAGAGATAAGATAAGATAAACGAAGTATTTGAAAGAAAAGGAAAAAAAAAGAAAAAAAAAGAAAGAAAAGAGTACAATCTTAAATATGTGATAAAATTATCCTATATAAAATTTACTTGTTATTTATATATTTTAAGAGTTAATTTTTTATTATACAGAATAGATAAGATATATATATATATATATATATATATATATATATATATATAATTCTTCTACCGAAAGAATTTCGAGAGATAAGATAAGATAAACGAAGTATTTGAAAGAAAAGGAAAAAAAAAGAAAAAAAAAGAAAGAAAAGAGTACAATCTTAAATATGTGATAAAATTATCCTATATAAAATTTACTTGTTATTTATATATTTTAAGAGTTAATTTTTTATTATACAGAATAGATAATATATATATATATATATATATATATATATATAAATGTACATATGTTGGAATTGGTTGCGGACTAAAAATCGTAGAACCTTCGTTGAAAGAGTACGTTTATCTTCGCTTCCTTGACTTCATTGCCCGTTGAAGTTCAACGAGGGATGCTTCAAGAAACGTTTGAAACCTCATTCTATTGCTACTTTATCGTCGAGGTCAAAAACAAAAGAAATAGGGGGTTCGATAAAAGAAAAGGGGTTCGGGCTTTAAAAGGTTAACTTTCACAGAAAAGAGAAAAAGAACAAAGTACGTTCATAGCGATTGAAGGGTGAAATGTTACGGTGAATTACCAAAGAGTTCGATTATAATCAATTATTCTCGAATAAGTTAATTAAAATTGTCTAACAATCAAATTGAATATTCGAATCAATTTTTCGAACGTGAGAATTCATTTTGTTTTCTTTTTCCTTCTTTTTTTTTTTTTTTTTTTATGTCTGCGTCGATTTAAAATCTCCGCAAATTTTTAAGGGATTCTATATTAAAAGTGGAGATTATTCAATTAGTTCGAGTAAAAAAAGAAAAGAAAGAAAAACTAAATTATATAGGATATAAAATGACGACGATTAAGAAGAAAAACGAATGAAAAGATGTTCGATCGTATTTCTTTTTAATTATTTTTTATTTCCTTTCGTTCGATTATAAACAAACAAACGTTCATTTCGTCATTGAGATAAACTCGCCATCATTTATTTTATCAGTAATTAACTTTCGTTAAATGTTCTATCGAACAAACTGACTTCTCTGATGCGCACTGGTAGAATCCATTACTTGCGGAAGGGTTAAATACCTGATAATACTAAAAGTACACATACAGAGAGAAGGAGAGAGAGAGAGAGAGGAATATATATATATATATATATATATATATATATATATGTATATATATATATGTATTTATCAAAGATCCAAGTTTCCACGATCGACGTGGAACCGTAGAAGTAACTATCGTTCTCAGAAAAGCACCATAGAACTAGTGGATTTAGGAGTTGCTACCTAGATAGACACATACATCCGCAAGTAGATAGATATATACATGCAATTGCATATACATATATATTTATATCTATATAGATAGGTATAAAATGTAATTTTATGTATATATTTATATATATATATATATATATATAAATGTTTATGTATGTATATATATATATATATAGAGAGAGAGACATAGAGACATTTATATAAGTGTATATCTTTATAGTGTGTCTAAGCTAGGAGGATTCTCCTTTGAAGGAGATAGAATAAGCGAGTAAATGAGCGCAAGAGAAGGAAAAAGAGAAGGAGAAGGAGAAAGAGGTTAAGAAGCAAAAGGAGAGAAAGAGAGAGAAAGAGAGAGAGAGAGAGACGGATTTCTCTTCAGTATACTTATCAGATCGGAGCACGCGCCTATTGATTTTGGCTTAAACGGGGAATCCGACGGTAGATAGAAGTTAGAGTTGAGATGCGGACTACCCTATTTCGATCTCTCTCTCTCTCTCTTCATCTTCTCCTTCTCATCGACACTGTGAGTGATTTTACTACGTGTATCTGTCGATACGAAATCAGTATGTATTATAATAGATATGAAGCACACGTTCATTTCAAGAGGATTATGTTCATAATACGTTGAGAATATTCCTGCTAGTTTGCGATTAATTTTATAGTCATTATCATTATATGAAGTAGCTCAGTCGCAAGAATGCTTAGCTTTACATAGCTTAGTTCAATGTAACACAACATGTAGAAAGTGCTAATATAGATAACTCTCGTCGTCGTATGTTCTCTATATCTAGTTAAATATAATCCTTCATTTAAAATATAATAATAAATGATATGATTGATTATAATATATGGATATTGGGAAAGTGTTTTTCTAAATAAAAAATAATCTATGATTTAAAGCCAATGAATCTTTTATCCTGTTTTTCTTTTTTTTTACTTTTCTTTCGTACCAGAAACAACTGAAATTCCGTATAGCATCGTTTTCTCGTCGAGGAAACTTCGAGGTCTCCGAGTGTCTACGAGGAAAAAGGATCTCAATTTCGAATGAAGAAAAATAAAAGAAATTATGGCGGTTTATGCTATAAGTGACTATACCAAGCGGGGGTTGTCTCGTTAGCATAATCCGTTCGTAAGAAGCTGCGATTCAAATGCTATTCTGTTTTCGTAACACACTCTCGGTGAGACATACAAGATGTGTATACGTATTTGCCTCTCTCTTTCTCTCTCTCTCTCTCCCTCTCTCTCTTTCTCTTTGTGTGTGTGTGGATTTACTTGTACGTGTGTATACGTCTTTCCTTTCCCTATCGAGTACCGTATTTCGATTGTTATTTTTCCGAGGCGTTCTCGATCTACAAGAAAAGCGATTCGAATTTTCCCGCGACGAATATTGACAAGGAAGAGAGAGAAAAAGGGAGAGAGAGAGAAAGGGAGATAAAGAACTGGGATTGGTTCACACGCAAGGAGACCTTATTTAAAGGTACGATGCTTGTATTAAAATCGTTTTCCGTGAGCAGCTTACATCCGTGAATCCATCTTGAATCTCCCTTCATTCCTTCTATTCTTTCTTTCTTTAGCAATCAATCGTGCGTGTGGCATTTAAAAGAAGAAAAAATAATAAAAAAAAAAAATATCCTATAGGTC